GGGGGGCAGGGTGCCCGAGCGCGCGGAAGGCAGCGCCGCGTTTGGGTGGGGTTCTGCGCGTTGCGTTATTTGTGAAGACCGGCAGTTGAGGAGCCCCCGCGGGCGGCGCGGGGCCGGTGAGCCAGGGGGGGTCAGGCACGAGCTCATCAGCCTTCAGGACGAAAAACACACAAAGGGATTGCGTGAGTCCTCGATTTTCGGGGTGCATGAATGCATCAGGGGCAGGCAGCGCCAGGCGAGCCCTCACCTCTCCCCTCGGCTGACAGCAGAGCTGAGCCTTGAAAAATCAATACTTGGGAGCCGGGAGGGAAATATTTCCAACCTCTAACTAGAGAATGTATTTTGACAAGGCCAAGATAATCCGGGCTGCACGGGAGAAAGAGAAAAGAAGACTCATTTTTAAAGCTTGACACTTCAAGGTGGTTTTGTGCAATGGTTTAGAGAGCGCGTCGATACGTACAAATACCAAAGGTCAAAAAGAAAAGCCAGAAGAATTTCAAAAATGAGATGCGCTGGGTTTGCTGTTTACTTCGCCAAATATAAACTGTTTGATTTGTGTAGAGAGGCGGTCAAATGCGGCGAGCCCAGCGTTCGCTGCCATCTCCTCGTTTAATAGCAAGGAAAATGCACTAAAGCCAAGATGATACCTTGAGCGATTTACCTAGCAAAAGTGTGCGCCCGCTTCCTGCTATATATCTGCATTCGGGGACGTTAATTGGGTTGGATTTGGCATGATTGCATTTTGATGCAAAAAATCAATATTTTTTTCATTTATGCAGCATCATTTTTTGGTAATTAAATACCTGGCTGCGTACTCAGGCCCTACCCACAGCGCTCAGCAGCACAGGGCCCCTCTTCCGCTCCTTGAGCAAGGCCTCGTGGGCACCCAGCACCCGCGATTTCTGCTGGGTGAGCTGGGTCTGACTGAGCTGCCACCGCTGAGCTTGGCACTACCCGTGCTGCTGCAGTGCAGGGTGCTGCTGCTGCTGTGGTGCATGGCCCTGCTGTGGTGCACGGCGCTGCTGCTGCCGGCACTGCTGCGGTGCACGGTGCTGCTACGGTGCACGGCATTGCTGTGGTGCACGGTGCTGCTGTGGTGCACGGTGGTGCTGCGGTGCACGGTATTGCTGTGGTGCACGGTGGTGCTGCGGTGCACGGCATTGCTGCGGTGCATGGCATTGCTGCGGTGCCCGGCATTGCCGGCGCCTCCACCTTGGGTGCATTGCGCAGGGCCAAGCGAGCAAGCGGGGCGGTCGGGCGGCGGTGGCACCCACCCCTTCCCAGCTGTGACACTGGGCAGGGCACGGGGAGCGATGGAGCAGGTTCCCCTCCTCGGCCTTGCGCCGCGCAGGCTGGGAGTGTCCGTCCCCATCCTGGCGCTGGGCGTAAAACCACAGCCTTGGCCGAGAGGTGTAAAATCGCATCGAGGCCAATTCCATGCGATGAACGCAACGCAGAGCGGTGTGAATGAGTAGGAGGTGGCCCTGGATTCATTTAATGCTGATCCAAGTGATGAAAGCACCCCAAAGTCTCCCGTAAAGCCCTGGGAGGAGGCGGGAGCAGGCGATGCCCGCGCCGCGGCTGGAAACGCGGAGGACGTCTATGGCAGCAGCGAGGAGCTCACGGCTGAAGGTAAGGAGGGGCAGGGGCAGGGGCGGCCACGTTGCGCATTGGCGCTGGAGGAGCCGAAGCACCCGGGCCCGGCGGGGACGTCCTCAACGGCAGAGCGGCTGCGCCAGCGTTGGGAAGGTGCTGGGGAGCAGCAGGGCGGCACATGGGGGGATGGACTGACGGACAGCGCCTGGCACGGGGGAGCGGAGGCAGAGGAAGGGGCAGGGGAGATCAGATGGGAAGGCGCTCCCTTCCCTGGCTTGAAAGAGCACGCGTTAAGGCTGAGGGAAAGCAGCAGCCTGAGAGAAGGCGCTGGAGCTACGGAGCGAGGGGCTTGTACGTTATTAATTAATTAATTAATAATTAATTGCATAGGCACGACATCTCCCAACTGCCGCACAATATTCTGCCCGGCCCGGTGCAGTGGAGGCTGCCCGCTAATGAGCGTTATTTGGGGTTGGATACTGGAAATGAGAGGCCGCTTGAGGTTGGTAGGGAAAAAAAGCTTAGAAAAATGATACCAGGGGCTTCAGATTTGCTGCTTTCAGTTGCATAAAATGTGAGGGAGGGCTCCTTCGCTTCCCCACGTCGCAGCTCCTCGCCCAGGGGCTGGCGGGGACACGCTGGGCCACCAAGGGGCTCTGCCGGCGCGGAGCAGCCCCGTCCTGCCGGCCGCGCTGCACACAGGGAAGCGTGCACACGCGTGTGTGTGTGTGGCTGATGTCCTCCTCAAAATATGTCGGTCGTGCCCAAAACCAAAGCTCTTTGAAAACACAGACCGCCGAGGTCAGCGCAAGCTCCATCGAATGCATTGATCAGAGGATCTTTCCAAGGAGCCGCATGTGGCGCGTGTCTTGCCGAGGGTCAGCGTTCCTGGCAGCTGACTCAGAAATCCATCCCCGTGCACCTCGGGCTGATGCCAGGGGGTGGGTACGGCCCCTCCCGCTGCCCGGCGCAGGTACCCCAGCATTCTGGCAAGGCCGTGCCCCCCGGGGCGCAGTCGAACTCGGCTCTCGGCGTGGTTGGTGTTCTGCGGGTTCCTGGGCTGGGCTCACCTCGGCATCCCCCATCACCAGGCAGGCACCTGCGTAGGGCAGCCGGATCCTTCTGTCCCAAGGGCAAGGCTTCCCTGCCTCCGTCCCAAGGGCAAGGCTTCCCTCCCTCCATCCCGAGGGCAAGGCTTCCCTGCCTCTGTCCTGTCCCTCCCTCCGTCCCGAGGGCAAGGCTTCCCTCCCTCCATCCCAAGGGCAAGGCTTCCCCTCCCACGGAGAGGGATGCGGCCAGGGCAGGCGCCCACGCTCCGGACGTTCCCGCTGCACACTCGTCACCCGCTGAGTGCGCCCCTTCGGATGCAGCCAGGGCTCAGAGTACGAACCAGTCGGGAGTCAGCTCAGTTTGGTTTCAAAGAGCCACTTTGTGGCCCAATTTCAAACTGACGAGCCAGGCAAGCAGAGAAGGGCAAATGCCTTTGACGGGCTCAGCAGCAGCTTACGTATTTAAAAGCCAAGGTGTTAATAGCAGAAACTGGGGAGGACCTGAGGGCATTTGGTCCTCTGGGTGCTGCAGGAACTTCCATGAGCAGCCAACGTGCAGAAGAACCCAAAGCCAAATGTCTCTTCTGAACATCGCCGCGCGAGCCCCACAAGCTGTTGGAGTTACTTTTCCCTTTGGAAAAGAGAGTTCTGGGCCGGCTGTAGCCCGGGCGTCTCTCCCATCTCCAAAGCCAGGGAAGCCCAACCGGCGACCGCGTTCCTCTGCCCGCCCCTTCCCTCCTGCGTGGAGGCAGCAGAAGCAATGGCCAGGGCTGCGCTCTTGGGAAGCGTGGGAGTTTCGGGGAGCTCGTGGGCACCAGGGAGCCCACCCACGGCAAATCGCAGCGGGCTCTCGCGGCTCTTCAGTCCCGAATTGCCGTCCAAAGGTTTGCCAAATTGCCAGGACCCTTTGGGGGACATCGACTCAAGAAACTCAAGAGTAAGAAGCTCAAGAGTACCCCAACTTGTAAATTGAACCTTTGAGATGGTTGCATTTCGGGTCTCTGAGCAGGCACGGGAGGAGCACACGTCCAGTAACGCCTCCACCACCGGGATTTCAAATCAGCGCTTCTGGCACCGTCGGGGAGCTCCTGGGCAGGGACGGGCTCCACGGGCTTCCCGGGCGGCCGAGGAGAGAGCGAGGCAGGGCTTGCTTTTGTTCTCCAGCCTGGCTGCCCAGGCTGTGCCCGGCTCCTGGCGAGCGCCGAGCCTTCCCCAGCCGTAACACTGAGCAAAAATATTGGTAAAAATCTGCATCAGAGCCTCCGGTGTGATAAATTGACACTCGACGGCAATAGTTGCCTGGAGTGCTCTTTGAACAGGAGGGCTCCTGGGGAACTTCCCTCCATCTCTGATGTCTGAAAATTAAAAATTAATCCTGTATGAAAAATTAAAAGGTGAAACTTTCTGCTGCAGCAGCACCGCTTTTTGAATGTTGATCTTGGGTTTGAAATGAAGGCTGAATGACATCTCCGGGAAGATCATTCTTGGTTGTTACATTTAGAATGTAGGGCTTTAATTGATTTTTGTAAATTGGAAACCTATTTACAAAGGGCTGGAGTAGCTTAAAATTGCGGGGGGGGGCAGTTAGATATTTATTTACTGGAGTGACTGACTTTAAACGGGCGTTTATTCACTCCCGGAGAGCTGCTCCTGATTTGCAATACAGTAAAAGAAAACTGCTGTGTTTTTCACAGAATGGTGGGGGAATCTGCACATCTCGCAAGCTTAAATTTGCTTTAAAGCCCCCCTAAACCCCCTTCCTGAGCGCAGGGAGCGAGTGCCTCCTGCC